CCACATTTGATTTTAGTGGGAGGAATGGTGTGCTATTGTTGGTATCAGTGGGAGGAATGGTGCCTCATTGTTGGTATCTGCTGGAGTAATAGTGTACCATTATTGGTGTCTGTGGGAGGAATGGTGCCCCATCATTGGTGTCAGTGGATGGAATGGTGCCAAAAGGGCTGGATAAAGGAAATCTAAGGGCCACATTCAGCTCACGGGCTACAGTTTGGAGACTATTGGTTTAGAGTTAACTGTTAATGACAGCAGTAGAATTATTCCTCTTGTTCTGTGAGTTGGGATACCCAATATGTAGTGTGCATGTCTAATTTATATATGCTTGCACGCCATATGCACAAGTTTGTGTTTGTACATGCATATGTAGCCTCTCCCTAATATCTATTGCCAGTCATACTGATAACATAGTTATGGAAGAGTTACAGGGGCTTTAGAGAATTAAAGATAAATGAGCTAAATTTTAGGATTGAGGTATTCCCTTGCACACATCTAACTTCCTGTACAGTAATCTCTTTGAATAACACTGCAGGTAGTTTTTGGTAATCCATCTTTAGCCTACATTACATTTATTTGAATGTGCTGGTGTACTGATTCACCCCAACATGCCATAGGATCTCCCTACAGTTTCTCCATTATCCATCATGTAAAGCTGCAGGAAAAAAATCCAACAGGGGGAATCCCCCTTTTATTAGTCACGCGAAGTGCATGGAGCTGGGAACCCACAAAGAATTTCAGTTCTGGAGTCAGCAAGTGGTGCCATTCTGATGTCAGGTTGGTGCCTTTGGTAGTCTCAGAAATTCTATGGGCCAGCTCTATGGGCACCATGTCTGATATGCTTGAAAGCCTTTTTCCATGGATATTTCTTGGCAAAGTTTTTGCAAGGTTACCGGTTCTTCCAGCATCTCAGTTTGGGACTGGCATCCAGAATGTGATAACACAAATGCATAGCCAATTTGCTTACCCATACTACAGTCAATGAAGACATGAATCAATTAACCAACCAGCATGTTTTTGGACAGTGGGAGCAAACCGACGCATTACACGCAAACTACATACAGATAGCATGCTGGCCAAGATTCAAACCAAGGACCCCAGTGCTAAAAGGCATAAGTGCTAACCGCTAAACCACCGTGCCAAATATAAAAATAAAGTACACTCTATTTAATCAGGATTCACTAAATTATTATACAGTCACTTTCAGAAGTCTGTTTAGGAATCTAACACATATGAATTCTAAGATGCAATTTTTTTGCAGGTGGCTTGCAGGCTACAATTATAACAAGCGTGTTTCTCAAACATCTGTTTGCTTTCAGCCACAAAGCAATCTGCGAGTTCTGAGCCGATCACAGTGAACCAATCTCTGAATGCCATAGCCACAGTCATTTTCACAACTTGTGAAACTTTTTCTACTTACTTTGACAAAGTGAAACTACAGAAGAGGAACTTAGAGTCTCCAGATGTCCATTCCTCCTTGGGAGCTGAGAGCCAGCGAAGGAAACTTTTTGTACATCCACATGTGTCAGAGTTGTGCTGCCTGAGTTTACAAACCGCCTTCCCTGTGAAATCACTGAAGGAATGTGTGTTTCGTTACCTGCAGCTACAGTGGAGCTCCTGTGAGTTTCTGATGTAGACAGTTGTGGGAGGTTTCAGCAAAACAGGCATTGTCATGTCAAGGGTGGAAGGACAGGCCTCCCTCAGGGAGGGACCAGTAGACTTAGGAAATGTGCTTGAGAGTTTGACACATTGTGATTGCCATAAGAAATACAAATACAACACATCATTTAGACTCACTTATCCCCGCTGCTTTATGGATAAGTATTATTTACTGTGTATAGTTTTATTTATGCTGCAATCACAATAATATTCATCCCAGAATGAATACTCAGAATAATATTCATCCCTGTTGCCTGACCATTCATTTTGCCAAAAATCTTCCCGTAGAATTTTAGTACATTTAAAGTGTATTTCCAGCCTAAGGCTCGGTTCACACCTTTGTTTTTCAGTTCCTAATGTGTTTTTTAATGCGCGTTCATGCATGTTTTTAATGGGTTTAAACACTCACTGTATGAGGCAATTTTTTTTAATTTTTCACACACGTTAAAATCAGTATTTTTTTGCAGGAACATAGAACCCTGAAACATGATATATTTTCTGAAAGCAGAGGCCCCGGAGAATAAAATGGTGACTGTTTTTATGTCACTCGATATTTGCACAGCCATTTATCAAACACAAATTTTCAGGTTAAGAAATACTCTAAAATGAATTTTAATGCACGCAAACACAAAAAAAATAAGCAAATGTTTAGTAAAATATAAAAGATAATGTTGCGTTGAGTGAATAGATACCAAACATCAAACAAGAGATACCTGTGCTCAAATCCCAACAGCTAGTGCATGCATTTATCCAACATCCTTGTAGCTCTCCCCCATTGTGTCTTTTCCCCTATGCTAGCATTGTGTCCACAGTAGCATTTTCATAGGCAGAGCAGAGTAGGACTGGCCATAGAGGGATTACTTTGACGCATTTGGCCAGTTTAAACATGTATTGCAATATGTGTGAACTAAATATCCCTATTTATTGCAAAGTCTGCTTGAAAGGGTATATACCAGTGTGCAGAGGGTCCTTCAGAATTTCTAGATACCAAACATGACTCAAAATTTCACATGCTTGTAAAATGGCAACAAACTGCGGTACCTAAAATTTTTCATAGTTGATGCTTTAAAAGCCCTTACAGGTTGTCAGTGTAGAGTTAAAGTATAACTAAAGGCAACATTTTTTCTTAGCTTTGGATAGAGCTGAGATGGATTAGAACACCTGTCAGTTTTTATTGCTGTCTGTGCCCCCCATTAAACAGATTTGTCCTCTCTATTTGCCCTGTTTACCATTATCATTGAAAGTAAAAGTAAAAGAAAATCCCAAATTTTAGGTTTTCCCAAAAAAAAGTATTAGAGGGGAAACCTTCCCATGGGAACACTAGTTCTGGTGACCTGGTAGTCCCCAAGGAATTCCCTTAAATTTCAGTGTTTTCCTGTTTTGGCTATGGGACAGGGAGTGAAGGCAAAATCTCCACAATCAGATACAGATACCGAAATAAATCTGACAGGAGTTATAACCCTCTTTTGCTCTATTAGAAATTTAAAAAAAAGGTTTTTCATATAGTTCTACTTTAAAGGAACACTAAAGGCAAAACTTTTTTTTTCCAGTTTTGGATAGTGGTATGAGAGATTAGAACACCTGTCAGATTTTATTGCTGTCTGTACCCTCATTATTATCATCAAAAGGGTAAGTAAAATTAAATCACAAATTTTGGGTTCACACCAGAAAAATAATAGAGGGGAAATCTTCTAATGGGGACCCTGGTTCTGGTGACTTTGGTGACACTCTGGGATTTCCTCACTTTGCAGGGATTTCCTCTCACTTTCTGTTTTGGCTATGGACAAGAAATGAAGGGAAATCTCCCCAATGGGACACAGATGGCCATAAATCATGACAGGGGTTATAACCCATCCTTACTCTATCAAAAACAAAATTCCCTTCAGTTCTACTTTAAACATGAATGATGGCCCTAGAATTATTGCTCTTACTCTGATGTTCGTGATGACATCTCACATGTATGGTGCAATTGCTGTTTACATGCACACACACGCATGCACATGCACATGCTATGCATATACGTTGTATATCATGCATGCTATTTACCTGTAATAGACTCCCTTGTATAGACATCTAAAGACCCTGAGACTGCTGCTGGGTGCTGCCATTTTTAATGAGATGTCAGTATCCCCAGCAGACTCAGAGCTGCCAAAGTGATATTCTGTAGTATTCCCCTTTAATTCTCTGTCTGAATTCTAAATAAATTGGAGGGGAGAAGTAGAGGAGCTGGGCCAGCACAAAAAAATTACTAAATTAGAGGATTTCACATTGCAAGTGAATAAAAATCATGTATGGAAATAGAAAACACTTCATGTACAAATGTAAAATTCTGTGAAATGTTCTAAATTGGTGACGGGGTCTCTTTAAGGATCATCTGAAAGTGCAGAGAAATTATAAAGTGCATATCAAGCTAAAATCTTTTTCTAGTTTTCTAGAAAAGCCCTGTCTGGCATTGGCTCTCTTAGAGAGATTTCCCCTTACTTGCTGTCCTGCTGGCAATGGTTTCAAGTGAGAGAAAATCTGCAACAGCTACAAAGAAGAGACTCAATAAAAACCTGACAGACATTCTAGCCGTGAATATTCTAGAAATTAATATTTCTTAATGTGAAGTTAATTGTCTGCTTGCCTTTTAGGCCTTAGATCCAAATGTTCTCTGAATTGTTTTTCTCACAGACTGCTGCTAAAGACCTGGATGAATGTTAGTTATACAATTTCCTACATTGACACAGTAAAAATTGTTATGTAAAAAAGACTACTGTTCAAAAACCACTGTACTGTAAAAAGCTAACGAAGCCTGCACCCCTGTCACCACCTCCTTTATATTGTAACATTAAATCCAATATTTATCCTCTTGTTTCTGGGACCATGAAGTATTTACCATTTCAAGTCCAGAAAGTTTCACCCCCTTCCTGCCCAGGCCTTTTTTTAGATTTAAGTGATGTAACACTTTGAATGACAATTACTCTGTAATGAATTTTATATCATTTTTATATAAACAGATAGGGCTTTCTTTTGGTGGTATTTTATCACCACTGGGTTTTGCACTTTTTACTCTCTAAAGAAAAAAGACTGAAAATGTAGTTTTAGTCTTAGTTCCTGATATAAAACTTTGCAAATAAATAATCTTTCTTCATAACTGAAGGCCAAAATGTATTCTGCGACATTGTTTTGGTGAAAACAAACAAATCAGTGTATATTATATAGTCTGTGTTAAAGTTATAGAGTCTACAAACTATGGTATACTGTACATACCAGGGGCAGACTGACCATTTGAGAACTCAGGCACTGCCCGAGGGCCCGGGTCAGTAGGGGGCCCCATGAGATGCCCCTGGTACCTTTTTCATAGGCTTTTTTTGAGTTTGGGCAAGGACACAGGGGCCCCATGATCCCCTAATTCCCGGGGGGCCCCATGAGTTGTCAGTCCGCCCCTGGTACATACTAATATATTTTTGTGATGAGGTGATGGAAGCTAATGCTGTGGACTGAAGTGGTCCCAAATCTTTGGTGCACCCAAGAAGAGGAAAGGAGGCTCTCAACAACAGGTGGCAGCTGTCCTATCCAAGAAGAAGTGGGGTGGGAACTTGTACACTTTGACACCAACACCTGTCCAAACATAGTCACTGCTACACACAGCATAGGCATATTTACAATCAGGGCTGCTGTTAGAAACCATGGAGCCCCATACAGTCAACCTGACAGGGCCCCCCAAAAAAACATTTACTATGCTTCAGCTATGAATGAACATAGTGAGTGATCGCTACTGATCACTCACTGTGTTCATTCAGGAAAGAAAGGGGCTGGCAAATGTGACATGCTTACTGAACCCTTCTCCTACTCTCTGTCCTGAATGATCCTATTGTGTGTTTGCAGCTGCCGGTGGGAAAGAAAGGAGGGAAGCCTGTAACACTGTAAGGGTGGGGGCACACAGGGGGGCCTGGGCAGCAGGGGGAAGTGCATGATATACAGGGAGGGTGATGGGTTTGGTGGGAGCAAAATTACTGGAAATGATCCTTTCTTTCTGCAGCAGCTGAAAGCTAGCAGGAGGGAGAGGAGAAGAAGCCAGCTTACAGCTGTGACAGAAAGAGCCATTCAGGGGAATGGTTCCAGTAATTGCCCCCCCCCCCCCCCCGCCATGCTGTGAGAACTTTTCACAGTTTAGACATGTAGAGGGGCCCAAAATCCAAGGAGCACCTTTGAACTTTCAAGGAGCATAAATTTCAATGATAACACTGACATGCAGTGTCATCAGAACAGCCAGCCATTGTACATGATCACAGCAGTATAGTGTCACCATAGTATAGTGCAAACACAGCGTCAGTATGGTGACACTGTACTGCCGTGACGGTGATCAGAGGCAGTGGCTGATTGCTCTGATGACACTGTATGTCAGTATAGCCAGCCATAGCAATGCAGTATCACTATTGTTACATTGTACTGCTATGGCTACTATATTGTCATCAGTGTAGCAGCCGTCTCTTATGAATAGAGAGAGCAGTACAGTGTCACCATAGTGACACTGTGCTGCTCGGAGGGGGGGGGGGGGGGGGGGGGGGGAATAGAGGGTGAGCAGTGTTTTTTTTTTTTTTTTTATACATTAAATGTTTTCTACAGTCTTGATGACTGTAGGAAGCATTCAGTTCACGTGATTCAAAGCTGCAGGCATGTAGTCTTTGTTTACATATGTGATTCCTGGTACAGGGACGCAGCAATCATCGGGATCACTGCATCTGCTGATGCAAGAACATACAGGTACATCCACCTGCACCAGTGCTGTTCCCATCTAGCCATTTATGTAATGGGCCAGATGGGAGGCGTTTAAAGCTGAAATTCAGCTTTACCTTTAGTCTTGTACAGTTGAACATGCTCCACTCCAGTATTGAAATTGCTTTCACTGCACACTGCGAGCTTCTTACAAGGTATATTAGAAGTTGCAGCAAGTTAGATAGATTTCTCATTTCTTGAGAATTATCTATCTCCTCCCCAGCCTTACTGTCCCTGGCCTACCACTTTCATTTGCTAGATTTAGGTGCTTTCAGTCATGGAGGCCCAAAATCACATGTGGGGATTACCTAGGGTGGTTGGGTTGGTGGGTGGGTAGGAAAACCCACTTCTCCAAATTGACAACTATCACATATCAGGGCATTTTTGATATTTGCATAACTCCATTCAAGAGTCAGCCCACTGCTTGCATAAGGGCTGAGATAAGTAGTGAAGCAGAGTGCCATGATGTTTTCAGGACCCTGTAGGCCCCTCCAACTAGCCATGATCTGCCTGCATTGCATAGACAAAACACAGAGACCCAAAAATGTTTAATTTCAAAATAGCATGTTGTAAGAAGGGTGATGGGAACACCAGGGTAGGCAAAATATAAGCAGATTAAATTTCAGTGTTAAAGGGTTCGTCCACTCCAAATGTACCTTTCAGTTTTGAGCAGGTTAAAACCCGCCCAACCAGCTTCCCAAGGTTACACATTTGTCTCAACCTATACCAGTACCACCTTCTCTGCTGGATTTCTATATCATATAATGGAGAAGACATTTAGAGAAGCAGAACACCCCAAGCTGGGTGGGTACACCTAAACATTCAAAGTGAGGAGCGAATAGAGCCAGAGACCATGCCAAGGAAATCTCATCATTAGCATTTCCATGTAGACTCCACTGGATGACTGAGTCAATCAGATTTCACTTTCAAGTGAAATATCTTTTTTTGGTGGACCAGCATTCTATGCATGAAAGTAAAGAACCTTTTGTGTGCAGCAGTGCCCCCAGCCCCCCCAAGCCCGATTCTGATTCAGTGATGTTCATGAGAGCCTTGGCTCTCCTGGGCCTCTCCTTCCTCATTTGCGGAGAGAGCAGTGGTAGCCACTGTCAATCACAGCTAGTGAGCCAATGAGTGGGGGGACAAGTCGGGCTCCATGTGTGAATGGACACATAGAGTAGTGGCTCAGGAGTGAGCCTGCTTGGGTGCCCCCATAGCAAGCTGCTTGCTATGGGAGCACTAGGCAAGAGGGAGGGTCCTGGATCATCGGCGGGGGACCTGAGAAGAGGAGGACTGGGGCTGTTTGTGCAACACAGCCAGCATGACATGTTTTTTTTTTTTTTTTAAATGAACCTTTATTATCATTTAAAGTAAGACTTAAAGCAAAAAAGCAATATTCGGCAATGAACATAACCTAAGAAAATATACATTTACCGTCTTCATTTTGTTTTGTTTTGCAGTTTGTTCTATTGTGATTTTCAACAGTTAAGGGTCGAGGTCCCTAGGACATAGCTCATCCTACAGTTCTTCCCCGCTAAGCACATGCCCGTGGGTGTAATCACTGGAACCCGATATTATTATAACACACTGAAGTCCCAGTCTGTATAGTCAGCAGCTCTTTCAACACTGATAGCTGTAAAAAGTTACAGACTATTGTGCAATAAAATATTAACTAAAAGTTACAATGTGATTACTCGCAGCTGTCAAGAGCATTTAATTTTATATTTATATATATATATATATATATATATATATAAAATATTTTATATATATATTTTTTTTTTTTTAACCACTTCAATACCGGGCACTTTTACCCCCTTTCTGCCCAATTTTCAGTTTTCAGCGCTGTCACACTTTGAATGACAATTGCGCAGTCATGCAACAATATACTAAATTTTTAGCATTTTTTTTTCACATAAATAGAACTTTCTTTTGGTGGTATTTAATCACCACTGGGTTTTTTATTTTTTTGCTAAATAAATGAAAAAGACTGAATATTTTGGAAAAAACCCCCACCTTTTTCTTCCTTTCTTTTATAAAATTTTGCAAATAAATAATTGTTCTTTAATAAATTTAGGTCAAAATGGTGACACTGTACTGCTAGGGTGACAGTATGTTAAAAACAAACAAAACATAAATAATAATATAAAAAAAAATAAAAATGTAAAAAAAAAAATTTAAAAAAAATTATTTTTGGTTATAAACTAATTTGGGTTAATTTTACTAAAAAGACAGCTAAATACATTTTGGTGAAGATTTATGAAACAAAATATTTGCAACATTTTATAGGAAAAAACACTTTTTTTTCAAAATTTTTGGACTTTTTCATTTATACAGCAAAAAATAACAATCCAATGGGTGAATAAATACCACCAAAATAAAGTTTATCTGTCTCAAAAAAATACAAAAAAATTCATATGGGTACAGTGTTGCTTGACTGCGCAATTGTCATTCAAAGTGTGATAGCACTGAAAGCTGAAAATTGGCCTGGACATGACGGGGGTGAAAGTGTCCGGACTTGAAGTGGTTAAATTCTGTTTTATTACTATCGCATTTAATTATATTCTGGCCACTACTATACTGCACAGCCTTTGATGTTTTAAAGTTGATGATGTAATGTTTTTATGCCTCTTGCTAATGAGCCTGAGTGAGGAAAAAGGTCTATTAGCCACTGAGATTATAAAGTATATACTATACTGACTAACTCAGTAATTCAGGATTAAAAGTAAAGCATATTTAAACTCAAGAAAAAAAAAGTAATTTGTTGTAGTTTAGATGTGTAATCTTCCTTAATGTTGTTATTATTTTTCTTTCCCCTTTATTTTCACCTAGCAATCCTTCTAGTAAGACACTTCCAGTTGTAGGGTGACAATGCTTACTCACGGGATCTATAGAGTAACAGCGTTGTCACCCTAGCCTCACTGCACTGATTTGGACTAAATAACACCATTCCCCGTTCTGTGTTGCCATCTCCCTCCTATATCCAAAAAATCCTTTTCAGCCACTACTATCATGAGCTGCCCCTTTGGCCAACAGAAATGTGTGGTTATGGAGTGGGAAAGATTTAGCTTTATCCAATTAAAAAAAACTTTTGGGTGGTGTGAGGGTACTGATAGCTGCTGCAGGTACATGCTCTTTAGGTACCTCCACTTTATACCTGTCAGCAGCAAGTTTTTGTTTTCTAACAGTGGCATTTGAACAAGGGGAGCAGGGTGACTACAAATTGTACAAAAACCTTCTGCATGTGGCTCCACCCCTCCCATCCTCAGCCGCCCCCCCCCCCCCCATCCTTACTTAGGCTACTTTCGCAATGAGGAGTTTTTGAAGCATTTTTATGTTAAAAAAAAAACCTGAAAAGCTCAAGAAAAATGCTTCCTTATGTATGTGAATGTATGTCTATGTACAGTCAGGTCCATAAATATTGGGACATCGGCACAATTCTAATATTTTTGACTCTTTACACCACCACAATGGATTTGAAATGAGACGAACAAGATGTGCTTTAACTACAGACTGTCAGCTTTAATTTGAGGGTATTTACATCCAAATCAGGTGAAGGGTGTAGGAATTACAACAGTTTGCATATGTGCCTCCCACTTGTTAAGGGACCAAAAGTAATGGGACAGAATAATAATCATAAATCAAAAACTTTCACTTTTTAATACTTCGTTGC